GTCACAGGAGTTAGTATTAGAGATGCATCGATGCATCCTAGCCATTACAATATGCTTGTACCAGCTAAGCCTGGCCAAAAAGTCTCGTGACACAGACATCGCCAAAATCAGATGGGTTTGATTCCGCACAGGCCATTCTCAGCAGCCAGGCAAACTGGCGCACGACTACTCACATGACAAGTATCAGTGAGCTGCTCAGTTGGGCACCAGGAATTCTCTTTGACAGATCAAGTGCCCTGTAAAGGTAACAAGCAAAATGCGCTTGTCAATCTATTCTCAAATCTTTGTCCCCAGCATCCTACCAGAGCAGCTGATCTGGAACAAAATTCCCTTCCCAGCTATTTGATAAGATCAATCCAACATAGAAAAACCTCAAGACTGTGTCTGGCACTGCAACAGCACAGGCAAGTTTAACAGAGCCACATCATGTCGCATACACAAGAAAATTGGACTGAGGCCACCCACACAAAACGTTGAGTTATATGGATGCAAGAGAAGCCTTCATGCATATCACAGGATAAACTAGACCACAGAAACAGTATGTCTGAGCATGAAAACAGTTTCTGAAAAGTACCAAACCCAAACCAAAGCACATCCACTGTCCACCGCCCTCAAACTGAGAGAAGCCATTAGTGCTGTTATTCAGCTTAAGGTGTTTGAAAAAAAATAAAAAATAAGGGTTCGTTCTACACTTTCATACTATGTGGGCCATCCTCAGAACGTGTGCATGGCCTACCTTCCTCAGAACATCACGTCTAGGCTGTGACTTGAGTGCTTCAGTATATGCACACCCACACACTGTGGAGACACGTCACCCGTGGTTAATCAGCTTTCAGTAAATCTGTCCAGAAAGCAAGAGCAGGTATTTTGGCAAACCTCCTACTCACAAGTATTCTAACCAGCAAAAACTAGCACACATCAGCTCGGCAATGTCCGCTTTGAAGTGCATCTACAGAAACAATATGACAGAAATTTAAAATGGATACACACGATCGCGCAATGTGGCTGTTTGGTCTCAAGCAAGTGGTACTCATCACCAATTCAACTGCTAGTACAATACACAACTTGACTATTAAGAAGAATGTCAGTCAGTTTCCTTAGAAAATCTAAATTTTTATTATACATACTGTATTACACTGAAAATACGTACCCAAAGACAGAATATTTTGAATTTACAACTGTACAAAAAACAATAGAAAACATATGGACTATGCTGTAGATGTAACATTTTACAAAATGATAGTTCTTGTTAAAGGCACCAGATTCCCAGAGGGCTCTGGCTTAACATTTTTTTAGTCTTTTTTTCCAGTCAGATCTTACTATGAAAATGCGATTCACTACAACTGTACCATGTCAAAGACTTGAGCAGTCTGTGCTTTGACACAGCTCAGTGAGAGAAGTGGCCAATTCCACTCAGAGATGTCAAGCAACTACCAAAGGCTCCTCCCCATTGCATCCGGCACACTACGGTTTTGTAACTCTGAGATTAAATGACAAAGCTACCAGTGAAAAATCAAGTTAATCCACAAAATATTGGCCCAATACTAGACCGTTAACCACACTAAGCCTAGACTGTTGTGGGTGGAGATAACTACAGAGCACTAGAGAAGGAAAAGATTGTTCTGTCAAAGAATGGAATCTACGATCAGAACTCTTGCTCAGCATCCTCCTTGAGCTCACCTTCTTCATTTACACTCTTTGCATTCCTTCTGGTCCTCATAGCACTCATTAAATAAAAAGTAGCCTAAAGAAACCCAGCACTCTGCTGTAGGACAAGTATTAAAGAAGCCTGGGGATGCAAGTATGCACTCTTTCTCTCCAAGGAATAAGAAGTTTGTACAGGGGAAACATGCCGTTTCCATTGCTTCTTTCTTCAGTATCCCATGCTTTAAAAATTAAGCTTATTCATATCACGCCCAGGCTTGCACAGACAGGTGCTTCTTTACAAGCAAGGGTAAGAGAAGCTGGGACATCCTGCCTTGCCCAGGTGCAGTAACACACTTCAGAAGTTTGGGCTTTCCCAAAATTTCATGTAAGAGGAAAGAAAAGTTTTGAGAAAACTCTGAACTACCTCTCTGGTCAATTTGTCAGTACACCTGCACAGCAATCTAGAGTCAACAAATGTTTCCGTTTAATCTAACGGCACATATTGAGCCTCACTGAACAGAGCCCAGCTAACATCCAAGTGACCAAACACTCAAGACAAAAAAAATCCTAAGTTCCAGGGCCATATTTTGTTCTCTATGCAACAATTCCACTACACTGGAATTTAAATCTTGATCTTGCACTTTCTGAATTGTCTGGCATTATCCCTACTTTCAGGCTGCTGGATGGATTATTTCACTCTCTGAACCAAAGAGCTCTACGTAGTTTTACCTCCTACCCTATCCTTTTAACAATGTGGCATGTACCCCCGTTTCTTTAGGCATTAAACCTACAAGCTTTCTAGATTCACAGATCAAGTAGAAGTAATGCTCTGGTATTGAGGATCATAAAGTCACTTTAAAATAAGTTATTTTTGCAGTGTTAAACTGTCTCATCCTAAGGACATAACGGAATTAAAATATCCTATGCTTCTATTTAAAATTTCAATTTATTGCATATGACTGACTTCAGACAAACACGCCTGGAGACCAACTTGTTATGCAGCAACACAAGCAGCAGCACAGTTAAGCGTGCTGCATGCTACGGCACTCAAATGACTCCACCCCGCCCTAGAAGGGCTTCTTGAAGAGTAGAGGGATAGTTGCTGCCCTCCCAACAGCACAGGTCTGAGATACAGACATCTGCAGACCAAGGAAGTGCAGCGAGGGACCCCCAAAAGAGCCATCACACAGCAGCTCCTGATCACTACTGAATTGCAAGTAGTCTTGCATCAACAATTTATGACAACAGTAAACACCCCTCAAGTCAGACAATTGTCTAAAAGCTCGTTCTTAAAAATTATATTTGGTACTTGCAGCTTATCTAACAATCAGGAACAGTTAAGACAGAAGTACCATATATGTTTACAGAAAACTGGTCATCACAAGAAAACTTTAAAAAATCTGAATGCAGACAAGAAAAGGAATGTCAACTTTCTTTAAACCTTTCTTTTAAAAGATGAACACTTTCAAATTCTATTGTTAGCCCTTACTGTGTAACATACTATAATCAAATAATTTATAACCATGAAAATGCATTCTAGTGAATTCCTAAAAACTAAAACCCACTACTCATCCTCACTTGTCAAGCTGGTTTCTAGCTGTCAAAAAAAAAATTTGCAGTCAGAATGACAATCTACATAGTTTCTGAAATGGGGTAATTACGTGGAAGAGAGTCCTCAGTGTGACAGTTATACATGAGTAACTTTCACACTAATACATGCACAACACTCCATAATGGTAGCTGGTACCATCAAATAACTTGCCTACCTCAGGAGCTAGAACATTCCACATATTTGTTTAAATAAAAGTTGAGAAATCTACACTTCTGGTCACATCTTAAAACACTGTAGAATACAGGGTTTTTTTCTCACTACTTGCCCTGCCCTGTTGGATAATTTGTTTGAAAAAAAACGAAAAATGCCAGAAGAATTCCCCAATAGAAAAAGACTAATTGATCATCTAAATGTCTTTGCTAGTATATAAATGTACTTATGGGATTTGGTCTGCTTTCTTTTCAGACAAAAAAAATTAATAAAAAAAAAATCTCATTTCGTCCTAAAGAGTTCCAATTTAACATGAACCTCCAGTCAGCCCAAAGTACCTCCTCAGCACCAACCAACCACTGTGCTACTCATCCTTGTACTTCTTCCTTTTAAGGACCATTCCCAACCAGGTGCAGCTCTGTGAGTACTGGCAGAAACCAGACGTAGAATTCAAGTCTCCTTCAAATGATGAAACCACCTCCAAAGGATGAATCCTGAACTATGTACATAAGCTCTCTCAATAAACACAAGCTTTATTTGTACTATTAAAGCCACATTACATCAGTGGTGTGAACACAGTTATAAAGATAAAAATGTGCTTCTACTAGAAGGGAACAAGTATAAGGCACATTTATATGCCAGTATAATTGTGGCCACATTAATGATTATACTGATAAAACTACACTGGAAAGAACCACAGCTACAGTCATTCAGAACTTTTTGGATCAGGGCTTGGCAATCAAACATGTTACAACTCTTAACCAAGCAGAAATTAACACTGCCTGAAGACAACAAATCTTGCCAACCATCTGTATTCAGATGTGTCACGCAACCATTTTTAAACTAAGCTGCAAGTGGTCTTTAGATGTAATAGTGCCACTTCCTCCCAGGTCAGTTATGCTGTTCCAAGGGCTTGCTCCACAAGAGCTGTACGACAACTTCTACCCCAGGACTTACACAGCAAAGAGCTATCACCTCCCTGCAGTGACAAGCAACAAGCCACCATCACTTTTTTTTTACCTTAATTTTGATGTTTCCTTCTTCAGAAAGCCACAGTACCCAGTTTCCTCTCGATCTCAAATAATGCCAAATACATACTAACTCATGGGAGGCACAGACATTGACAATACAGCAAGTTAACAAAGCTGCTTGACCTGACCCTATGACCCAAGCATAAATAAGCTAAACATACAGTGGGTGCCACCAGACACTGGACATCTACCACCTGCAATATTTAGTTATACTGCAGCTGAATTACAAAATAATCAAGCACCAGCTTCTGGTGCTTTAAATGTCCATTCTTACAATAGAGTCCATGTAGCCAAAGAGAATATTTTCTACAATAAGAATCTGTGCCCCTGTTTAATGGTAAACCGTGAATGACTGTAGTCTTCTCTTCCGTACTCAGAAGTAAACTGCTTCCATCTGTAATCTTTCAGTTGTGATCTCCTTTTGCAGCGTCTTGAACTGCAGGAAAACAAAAACACACCAACAACTTTTTCCCCCCAAGATCACCTTTCCCTCTCCCAAGATTAAAAAGAAAAACAAAACAAAACACAACAACAAACACATCAAAGAAAAAAGCGCGAGTTTGACACCATCTTCTGTGTTAACTGAGCCCAGACAGGTTGAAGAGCCACAATTTCTACTCTGGAGGGTAATAAGAAATGTACAAAATAGCATTCGCATGTACAGCTGACAGACTCTATGAGCTGGTTGACTCTAAGCTTGATTTGGTCCTGTATGCTGCTGCTGCATCTCTTAGGAAACATTAGTTATAGGTTTGTACTTCTTGAATCTGGTCCATTCACCAGTAGCATAGTTCATCTCAAAGACTGTATCAACTAACATAGTGGTGCTGCCAGTGCCATCTGCCTTTGGTAAATCTTCTGTATGCTCACTAAGTTTGATTTGGATGATGTCACCTTGCTCTTGGCAAGGATTCTCTGTGAAAACAATAGAAACAAATGATTCATTTCAATGCTATATTATAAACAGGAAAGAGCATTTGACTGATATTTGTTGGGGGGAAAAAAAAACACCACCAAAAATAAACAACCATAAAAACCACCACCACAACCACAAACCCACTCCAAACCCAAGTGATAAAGTAACGTCCCTAGCACACATAGCCACACAAAGATCCTCCTCCCTCCATACATCACAGACTAAGTTTTAAGGACAACAAAACAACAAAGTGGGAGTAAAGCATGCCAGTGTAATTAATTTTGTCATACAAGAAGATTAGATTTAAATCAGAGTTGTCACACTTGAACTACCAGAGTTACTTTATTTGGGATACATTTTGTAGTTAAAAGTCTCAACAATTTTCAGCTGTTCTAGAAGGCCAAACAGCTTTACTGAAATGTGACAGCAGAAGCATTAAGTGTTACATTTCAAGGTACCAAAGCTCAAAGATATGAGTTGGCAGTTATTTACCCAGCCTTCAGAAGCTGTTAACATTATTACTGAAGGAATTAATATTGTTATATACTTATCTATATAAGCATATGTGCATATATACATATAAAACACACACATACACACTTCCAAAATAGTATTTTACCTTGCATTACAAAGAACTGTCCATGTTGGTACTAAAGTACACTCCCCTACAGCAATTCAAAGTAGCATCTAGTACTAAGAGCACCATCATTAATGCACGACACTAAACTTTCTTAAAGCCCAGAGATCATCGCAGTAACTCTACCCTGGTCATCTTCAATAATGCATTACACTAATCCAAACACAAGAGCCACATTTAGGCTCCTGCACTCCAGTGATAAGAGCCTCAAATACCAAATTAGAAACCAGAGCTAGTGCAGATGATAGAGTTCAATTAAGGACTCTTAAATCCCTTCTCATCTTACATCTGATAATCTCCTGTGTGAAATAGCCTTGGTCCAACAAGGCCAATATATGACAGGATTTAGCTACGAGACACCTTATCTCCGTGTGATTCATAGCACCTGTGGTTACCTGAAGTCTCCGGCAACAACTGCTACACTTTCTAATGCAAAAGGCTCTGCACTATCCAACCTGTGCCTCGACTTGCCATGAAAGAACTTATGTTCCTTGGTCTTCTAGACAGACTACAATGATCTAACCAGTCCGTTCACTGTTCTGAATGGCTGCCTTGCTTCCCTTCAACCCCTAAGCCACAGGACATGCACTCACTTATGTATATATTGTGTTTAGCAGCTGCTCTGACAGCCTGTTTGACTTACTGGAAATACACTCTACCCTATTCCAGATAGAAATAAAATAGCTGGAACTATCACTCATAAAACTCTACACGGTCCAGAGTAAAGCAAAGAGTTCAGTACATAAAGAGCAAAGGGTCTTGCAGTCAGACATGCACATTTAGAAGTGCCAGGCTGTATTTCAGATCTGGGTATTCAAAAGCAAACTAAATTAGTCTCGATACATGCCTCTGGATCCTGCCATGAATCCAAGTATAAGAGCCTTTTCTGGCCTTGTAACTTTGTTTGCAGTCTTGAACATTTCCTGTGCAGCGTACATTTGCTCCCTCTGCAACAGATACAACAGAGAAAAATTTCAGTGGAGAAAGCACTGCCAACAGTATCAATACTCAGACAAGCATAAAAGAGTAAGGTGAAAGTTTGTAGACCTACAAAAAGTAAACAAAAAAGCACCTTAACCTCAAGGCTTTCCCTCTTTAATGCTTACACCTAACACAGCAACAACTGATTTCTGAAACCGTGGGAAAAAAAAAAAACAAACCATCAACCCTACTTTTAAATAGCTACAGAAATTCATGCTAAGAGACTAATCGTTATTTGTGTTCTTTATGACACTAGGTAAAAAGACAGACAAAAATCTAATGTTTCCTCTACAATCCAAACTTAGGCTTGCAGTAATTTCAGAGGATTTTTGTTCTTTACTAAATGAAGTAGAGGTACTGACAAAGTCACCCAGCTTCTTAAAAGTTCATATCTATTAAGCCAGGCTTACAGGTGTGCTTAAAGTCTTCAAACCAGCAGCACCATGAATTACATGCCAGCAATAAGCAGCTTGCTTGTAATTGCTGTTACATTTTACTTCCTCCCCAGTCTCAGGCTTCGAAAGATACGGGGTGTGACTGGGATCAAAAAAAATAAAGGCTTTTGTCTTAGAATAATCTATTGATATCTCTCCTCCTACCGTAGCAATTAATAGGATCCTTTTTAGCAGCTTACATTATACGCAATTGGCTGGGCAACAGCTCTTCTAGAAAGACACCTTTCTCCCAAAATTCTTTGCAAGACTAATACAACACTAATTTACATAAATGATTCTACAATAAACAGCAGTAAATAAAGACATCTTATTGTGACATTAACACTGCACAACTGAAAGTGTTGTGATTAACACCAAGACAGCAACGCTAATCAAAGCCACAAAGCATCTTCATTAACTTTGGTTATAAGTAAGCAGCCTCAACCACTCCACGATCCAAAGACGAGGAACCACCAACATGCTGAATGAGAACAGTAATAAAAATCTGTGTTTTCCAACATACTTCAAAAGCCACACTCCAGAAGAATCTGGTTTTACTTACCGTAAGAGAGAGGCTTTTTTTCGGTGGTGGCTGTTGCTGAGTTTGGGGGGCCACTTGTGGTGCCTGTGCCGCAGGGGAAATGGCAGGAGGTGTGGTAGGCGTTAGGGGTGAGGTAGGTGTAGCTGCAGGTGGATTAGAGTTACTATTGTACATGGGTGTTCTTTGTTTGAATTGTGCAGGAAGAGTTGTAGTAGCATTTGGAGCTGCAGGCTCTTCAGTTTGTCTGTTAGTCTGCAGGGCCTCTCGCACAGAGCCAGCTGCAAAAGCCAATCAGGATAATTAAAAACATTATAATCCCCCAAAAACTATTAGCATCACCAATGGCCTTTAAAGAAAACTAAGAATTCTGATTATTTCATTATTCAATATGCCATAGAATACCTACCTGAAAAACTGAAGAGCTAATGTTCTCTCCACTCAATTATCTTTAGCAGTAACTATAGACATCCAAGTGACTAGCTGTCAAATCTGGACTGCACTATATCGTTATGTTTAATGGATATCGGATGTATTAAATTGAAATTGCTGTATTTACTTTTTAGTTTATTGCTAGAACAACTGTACTCTGACCCTACAAGGACTCTTGCTGCACTGTTACAGAGAAGCCAAAATCATAGAAGTATTTCATCAGCTTTTACCTACAGCTTCCAAAGAAACAGTAATTAAGTCTCAGCCAGTACCAAATACTGAAAATACACAAACACTTAAGCAGATGACTATTAAATGTAGTCTTCACAAATCACTTATTAAATACTAACTGCTAAGAGGGTTAAAACAGTATTGGCAAGTCCTAACCCTGTTATTTCTCAAAGCTGATCCATTTACTGCACTTAAGGGAGTTACCACTCTGAACCTGGCTGCAGGTGGAGCTTACATCTAAGATCAAGTCACCGTGATTTGGTAAGTTACCATCTGTCCAGTAAACAGCAATTGCCCAGCGCACCCTCTAGCCAGTCACATTCTTTTGCAGCTGAGACACAAGCACAGCTATTCAAGCACCTTTCACAAATAAGGTTTAAGCTCACCTATGCACATTGTGTTCACAGCAGACTAAAAGGCAGATATCAACCAGAGCCACGCCAATGCCTTTCAGATCAGATTTTAGAGATCTCCATCTAGGCACGGACACAGTGTCGGTTTTAATAATAAGGCTACTATGCAGTAATATGTGGAACTGAAGAGTGAACACTTTGAGAGGACAAGCATTTATAACAATTAGTTACCCCATAACTTTGTACAAACCTCAAATTTTATTACTGGCTTCCTCTCACGTCAGAATAACTGACTTGCATCAAGCAACATGTCTTAATTACCAGAGACCAAATCTGTGGAACTTCTGGGTGCATCTTGTATCTATGAAATCGTTTTCTAGTCCTTGTCCATAAGAAAAGCTAGATACCCCATACTCCAAAAGGAAAAGAAATTATAAAAAAAAATAGAGAACAAAGACAATAGAGAATTTTAAACCAGACTTTTCCTGCTGTTGAATACCATGCCAAGGCCCTGGAAAATAATACTAGTTGCTGACAACACTGATGTGCTCTTGGCTGCATTCCCTCTGGAGATGCCAACTTTCTGCCAGAGAAAGATTTGCACGGACCTTCAGAGAGAATCTGAAGTGTTTCAGGGCCGAGTGAAGCATATGCATTTCCGTGTTTTGCATATGCATTTCTCTATAGTAACCAACATGCCACAGCTCACATACATCAGGACAAACATTACAGTACCAAATCACCGCATGCAAGTGGAAAAACAATGCATTAAACCGCAAGGTTGGTTCTGTTAACTACAAGGTCTGGTAACGAATCCCAGTCACGCACATCTGGTAATGCAAACTGATACATTACTTTAAGACTTCACATGCAGCAGCGAAGGAAAAACGTAAATTCAAGTGTCTTAAAATAAAAGGCATAGAAATAAAGGATTTGTATGAATGCTATTTTTTACTATAGGCAATTTTCTAGAATTGAAAATAATGTAGCACTTTTCAAAATATGCAGGAGCACAGCTATTACATATCACAAGGTAAAAGGAAAACAGATGGCTTGAACCGAGCCTGTGTGAAAGTTAGTATGTACTTGCCTCTAGAAACTGACCTGACTTCTGAAAGCAAGTGTTTTGTAAGTACATGAACAGGGATGCATGTATGGAGTATATACTCTAGACTTATGTGTACTACTCATGTAACTTTAGGTATTAAAAAAGGCTGGATTTTCTATTACAGAGTAAGAAAATAAAACCAGCCAATTGCTCTGCTTAACTAGCAGCTATTTTAAGACTTAAAACCAATACGCATTTCCTTTCTTTAGGTTAAACAACATGCCTGGTTATCCCAAACCCAATGGCTGGGTTTCTGCAATAAATTTTCAGACTAAGGTTGAGTTTCACTAGAGTTCAGGGATAACAAGCTTGTAAATAAAAAGAGAGCTGGACAGTAAAACTGCATAGAGTTGGAAGTATTAGGACACAAAAACGCCTCTTACATGGCTGTGTTTCGGAGCTTGGGATATATGAAGAAGACGGCACCACACTGGGGGTAGCAGGTAAGTAACTTGTAGAAGGTAGCGCAGGCTCATTGTTCAATGAGCCAAGTTTCTGTAAAATAGAAAAGAAAGTGTTATAACCATAGTGCATATACACATGCACTGTTTCTGCATTTTAAATGCAATTTCAACATTAGTTCTGCTACAATATTCCTTTTGGAAACTTAATTACAGACTCCTCTGTTGGGGTTGAAAGGGCAACCTTGCCTTAACTCCCTATACAAAGCTCAGACATTAGAATTACCCTAGAAGAGAAAAAGCAGCTTTTATTTCCCCTAATTCAGATGAAAGTTGCTTCTGAAAGCACAGTATGAGCCTGGAAAAAGTATTATGGAGAACGTACTTCTGCAAAGAGAGTCAAGCTGCTGTTCCTCTGTCCTATCCCTCAGCTGCCAGTATGGAGACCAGATAACGAAATTTGTGCACTGTAGAAATCAGCGATCTTCTGCCTGAGCAAACAAGCTCTTCACTATTAGCAAGCGGAAACCTGTGTTCCTCCATGGGCAAAAAACATACTATAGTATCACCCAGGAGAATGCAAAGACCTCTGGGACATAAGCAAGCAAAAGGTAGCAGTAAAAGCACAGATAAAACTCTGTTTCCATTGAAACTGGCAGTCAAAAAAAAAAGTGCCATGTTTTGTACTGAACTATGCATGACATTGCACACATGACATGAACACAACATCATGGTATCTCTACAAAGATCTTCACTTTAGTCCAATACAGCCTTAAAAACAAGAGTTTGATAGAGGAAAGAACTTTTGGGCAAGTCTGGCAGACAAATCATTAAAGGTAAGCGTACTAGACAAAAGACAGATTCTGTAGAATGTGGAGCTTGCCAAAAGAAGATATTCCTAGAGTTCTGCAGAAGGATAGGTGATGAGTTTCACTCCTGACACAGGCCTACCAGTGTCTGCCTGTATGTTGGTTTTGGCACATGTGCCAGAGATTGCTACTTCCATAACTATGGGACAAGTGTTGCATGTGTCTACCATGAGGCTCTAGAGGAAAAGCCTGGCTCACCAACCAAACCACAGGTCTCGATCAGTGCTCCCCCAAAGGCAAGCGTTGCATTTCAACACATGGACTCAGAGGCAGAGGCAATCATGACACTTGAACAATTTGGAACACGAGAAGACACTTAAGATTCAAGATGGATTCCTATTGTCAAGAGGCTTGCAAACACTGGGTACGGCAGCCTCAAATTAGATACTAGTATCTAAAGAACAAAGATTAATTCCAGGCCAAGGCCTGCTGCAGTAGAATAGACAGTTTCTAACTCAGAAGTGGGGAGAGGACCTACCATTCCTGTAAAAGCTATGCCCTGCCTGAGAAAATAAAGTTGCAGCACAGCTTTTCCTATGCACCATATCTGAAAGAATAGGAAAAAACCTGCATAGAACACCACCACCCACCTCCCACTTGGACTAACTCTACCAACAGTTTAGCTTTTTCAATAGATCCTAAACAACAACAAAAAGATTTACACAGGTTTTAAGCAGCACAGATTTATAGCTATGGGTAATTCCACTCTGTTTCTCATCCCTTTCCAGTAGCAATGGTACTGGCTAAGTCAAGTTACAGACAGGTTTGGAGACCTCAGAAAAAGCTGCCTTCTGGATTAAGCATTGATTCTCAAAAATTGCAAGATAAAAACAGAGAAAAGAACCACAGAAGGGTACTAGCACATAGGTTCTTTTCTCAAGCCAGAAGACAGATGAGTTTTAAAGAGTTGTTTCTTGCTGCTTATACTCAGCTGTCCCTCTTGGGCACATGCCAACAACAAGTGCCCCTCACCAAGACTTCTGAGGACACTATTCTACTCAGGTCACAAAGGATGGCCAGGCACAGAGTGAAACCCGCAGGAACTCCTGAAAACTATTCTACTTCCCCAGGGTCAGAGAGCTCTTATATCCCTTTCACCTCTGACTACAGTCCTCAGTTACAGAAATATTATACCCCATTGCAAACTCAAAATAGCAAAAAGCAAGGAAGCAAAAACTTTACCTTCATCCTGCTTTGAATTTTTGCGCTAGTTTGGTGAAAATATAATAGAATGTTGAAATAATTGTGCAAAGATTTTTACATTAAAAAGCATGCTTCAATAAGTTACTAAAATATAATTACTAAATGCTTTAGAGTAACATGCATTATGCTTTTTGTTGTTGTTTTGGTTTTACCTGTGTAGACACAAGGCCAGCAGCATAATCTGGGGTAGCATTTTCTACTACTGTTTCTTCTTTGGCTTGTTTTTCCACAACTTCTGTATCTATTGCATAAAACCAAAAGTCAGTTCAAGGAAGTTTTCAGATATATTGAATTAGATATACTATGTTCAAACAAAGATATTAAAATGCATATTTCTCTGTCCACTAAAACATGCTACAAGAGGCATATGCTGAAATTTTGGTACATACAGTAATCTTCACACATTGTTCCATGACCAACCCAGTTATGAACTGAAGCACAACATGTATTCACCAAGCTAACTGAGTAACTAGGCAGAACTGGCTAATTCTGTGGTATCAAAAAACATCAGAACTCAAAAATTTAACTGCAATCATAATTTTCTTCTGAGACAGTACTCATACTAGTCATTTAAGATATCTCGGACAATTTCACTAGAAATTTTTTAAACATCACTTCCAATTAGTTTACTTGGCTATAGAGCCACTAGAAATAAGTATATCAAAATATCTCTCCATAATTCCTGTAGTGAAGCCACTCATACGCCTACAAGCTCCCCAAAGCATAACCAACTAGCTCAATCCTTCCATGCAACTGAGGCAAGTTACTACCTAGGCATGGGCAGTATGATTAGCAGCACTGAAAAAAAAACGAAGTGAAAAACCTCCCAACAAAGTGTTTTTTGTTTGTGTTTTTATTTCTTCCCCTTTAAAAGTTTAACTGAAGATTAAGTTTTTACAAATGAAGAACAAATATAGATCCTATCTGCAGATGTATTAATAGTCTTCGTAAACAGCATGCTGTACCAACCTAATGTCTTTCTTCTTCTCTTTGCTTCACGGCCAGCACCTACCATATCCAGCTCAGAGATATCGAGAAGCTAAAAAGAAAACCCATAGAGAACTTAATAACCAGTGTTAAATTTATTTAGTTGATTCCTAAACACTGTCATTTTTTTTTCTAATATATTGATACTTGATTCGAAACAGCCTCAGAATTCCCTTTAGATCAGAGAGTAGAACTGAGCAGGAAAGCAAGAGACTAAGAAAGAGTGTACCTACCTTTACTCCTCTTTCTTTGCGCAAAGGTGTTCTTGAAGGAGGAATAGGAGTTCTGTTTCCAGAAGGACTAAATACACTAGGTGCTGAAGTACTCCTGAATGGAGCTTGTTTTGGTATTCCTTTGAGTGGTGCTTAGGGAAGATCAAAAAGGGCAACATATATATTTAACCAATTAGAAAAAAAAATAACAAGGAGTTCTTTGGCTTTTCCCTCTTCTTAACACAAATCCCCCTCCCCTTAAACTTCAAATGTTTATAACGTGGAACTGGCTATAATACTTATATGGCCCTCAAAGGTCAGATTAGCTTTTAACCTTCAGACAAGGAATAACCTTTAAACAAGCCAATCTTTAGGCTAATGCTTGCAGTCTCATTTGACACAAAGTAATTAAACAGGTGCACTGCTATCAAAATATACTTTTCCTACATACATGATGCCTACCTTACTTAGAACAAGTAAGCTTTGAACACATCAAAAGGTACTGGGCACGAACATTCTGAACCCAATTATTGCTGAAGCTGCTCTTTGAACTTTAAGATCCAGTTACTTGGTAAAACTGTATATAATCAGAAATTTCTTAGCCAAGCTTCTGCAGGGCAAAAGGGTCATAATCTAACCAGGAGGTGAATTACAGCTTTGCAGAGGGGTTTGAAATTCTGAAGCTGCTGTTTGCATGGGGAAGATCCAGTTTGGGTCTGTATTTCAAACGGAAACCTGTTGTCTCAACATTCATTAGAAACTGTTGCACCTACAAGAAGCTGTTTCCTCCCAGCTTTACACCATTACCCTTCTACCTCACACTTAATGTAAGCACTGAAGACAGCATTCTTGGTCAACTGCTAAAAAAATTAGGGAGACATATACATATCTATCAGGTCTTTGAGGCTCCTCACAATCTCATAATAGCCTACAATTTGAAGTTAAACATGTAATTCAGTTTGAGGTTAGATGCTCTATACCCCTCTACATATTGTACCAAAAGCCTTTTCGCCATGGGACAATGCTCTCTGACCAACCTACGTTTCAGCAGAGCAAACCCTGGCTGGTCCCACAACTCATTTCTAGAGACCACCTGTCTCTAAAGGCCAAGTCTGAAAACTAGCTTTCTTAGTTCAACTGCTAAAAAGAATGTCAAGAACTAACAGTCAATTTCTATACTGGGACAACTTTTAGTTCAAATTACATCTACATTTTCTGCATTTCCTACCTGAATACGCGGCCAAACTTCGGTGCTCAAAACCGCATCTTAAATGCATCATCACAAAGTGCTTCATAGCTTCGAGCCACCAGACCAAGAAACCACATTTTATACCTCAGCATCATATTGGTGGTCAGAAAAGTTATACCTGGGCAGTGATTTGTAGTAACTAATTTTGGACCCTCCTCCTGTTCTTAGTCAAAAAGGGCATTGCAAAGAGCACAGCAGATTACTGTGATCCACCCTGCTCCCTTCTGGAGCAACATGACTTCATCAGGAGTTATTCCTGGAGTGATCCAAATTAAATTCTACTCTAATCTACAGGCATGATCCAGCTGCATACATTCTAGAAGCATGGCAGATATACGTGCCATTTAAGAAAAACCCCACATTCTTATTCTTTCTGACAAGATATGTCAAACATTTAAATATCAGTAGAGAGGAAGGCAGAATGGGAGAAATCCTTTGGTTCAAAAAGTTATTTTTTCTCAAAACTAGACAATAATTTTGCTCTTCATGAAGGCTATTTTATCTGATTTTCTTTGCAGGAAGTGATCAAAGTGTGTCATACTTGTTGTATCTATCTTTTTGACCAGTCCCCTGCCTTTGGCATGGAAAGGCACTCCTGCAGTCTTCTTGAGCTGCTGTGCAGTTTCTGTTGCTAAAAAGAAAAAGGGCTTTAGTTATTACAGAATCTGTGCTGAAAAAAATGCAATCTATCACTTCTTTCTATAAAACATTATTAACAAATACATAAAAATATGGAAATAATAACAAAGGAAAATTTATATTTTAAATAAAACCAAGGTCATTTATGCAATGTAAACACAGCACTTGGAGAAAATGCAAAAATCAATATGACTATGCAACTGGTAAGATGCAACTAAATTAAAAGAAATTATCAGAATAGACTCAGTAGAGACTGAAATAATTGAAGAAATTTCTATACAGCATCACAAAAAGTTACAAATCTTCTATTTAGCCGGACCAGCTGCTCAAGTCACACGCAAGAAAGGTGGAAGCTGCTGCAACAAACAGCAGGTAAAGTATTTTCTGATTGTTTGGTTCAAGCAGCTACCAATACACATATGTACACACTGCCTTTTGTTAATAAAAACCCTCTTCATTGCCACACCCTATATAGCCTATATAGCCATTATGAGCAAAAGAAAGCATTAATTTGCAGCTCTTGCTCCCTGTTGCAAAAACAGATGGCAAAATAAAACTAGGTTCTCATTTCAGGTTTGTTTCAGGAGTTTTAACCAAAGCTGTCCCTTACAAATCTTCAAAACCGACTGTTAAACACATCCATGAGAGAATATATCTGTGCTTTAAAAAGCTACAGCTTTTTGCATGCCTTGAAATCTGAACAGCATTTAAATCAAGATTAGCATTTTAATGCAAACATGGTCAAAATGACTGGCATTGGCTCTTCCACAGATATCAGTCTATCAAAGGAAAAACAAAATCAGCCAGCAATGAATGCTCTTACAACAGAAAATTTTAACATATATCCCCATAGAGTAAGACTAGAAAGTAAGACAATATATATTTTCCTTTTGCCATTTAATTTATTTCTCAATCTTACCAACTAGCTATAATACTACTTACACTTCTGCAAGAGTTCAGCTCTGAGAGTGGCACTCTTAGGTTTCCTTTTCAGCTGGAAGTGTTTCACTGGGGGGGTAAGTGGCCCAGCTAGTGTTGTCAAGGCATTTTTGTTTAAATATTGGCATTCCAGGGGCAACATAGCTGAAGTTTCGCATTCACTTACTGCATAAAGAGTTAACAGAGTACACAGGGGTATTAGTACCTCTTTGATAGTCAGTTACAAAATATTTCACAACTAAACTGTACAGGTGTTTTTAAATATTAGATTACTTGTTTAAACACCAACAGTAATTTAGTTCCAATTATTTCACAGTAGATAACACATTATTAGGATGTTTGTTTTTTACATTAGCTTCATAAGAGCTTCTATGTTAATTATACCCAGTCAAATTACAGGAATCTTAAATATGCTACCATTGTCAGAGTAAAAGAAGAAAACATGATTGAATTCCCAGATTCCTTAAATACTGCATGCAAAAAGGAAACTACTAAAGTTCAAACCCAAAGTGTGAATAGACAGGCGATGATGTGTTTACATCAAGAAACCAAAATGCTTCCACCTCCAAGTCATTTCATTATTGGTTTGCTGCATTCCTAACCCCAAGGCCACGCCTGGCCACTGATGCCCGAGGGCTTCTTCTAGGCCATGTGCTAAACGGAACTCACAGACGTACAAGTAGCTTTGTATTTATCATTTACTACACTGTTTGAAGCAGCAACTGTGCAAGTCCCTGAGCCAATATTTTTAGCTGCTAGGCAGCCTGTTGCTAGTCGGACATCAGCAGCGAAACTCTTCTTGCGATCGGCCTCCCCCAGAGCACCTATCCTTTGCAGCCTAGAGGAGGACTTCCAGCAGAGACGCACCCCTTCTGCCAACACAAGGGTGCTGCTTCCACACATGAGGGTGTCCACACAACCACTGCAGAAAGAGTCTTACTGTCTTCTGTGGTACTACAACATATAAGACAGAGCAAGATACGAAAAACCTCCACTTACTAAGCTGTAGTAAGTTGTTTATTACTTATCAGCGCTCATACAGCCTGTCTACAATACTAATGAATCCACATTACCTTGCCTGTTGCACTTCACAAACTCTCAGTGCAATACCTGACATTTAAGTTCTGATGATGATGTGTGAAAAGATAATTTAAGAAGTTTCTAGTCCTCAAATATCATAGTTCCCAGTCCAGTAACATGCTAGATCATGAACTGTAGCAGTTAAAGAGACAAGACATACTGCTTGTCCTGATACCCATATCGTAAAGATAGCAAGACTGTCCGTGACACAACAGGGTATTTCTGAAGAAAAGGCATCGTATTTCTATAATTTTCACCAACAGAAAATACTTACCTTTTTCTCTAAGCTCTCCTAAAATATCTTGAACATTGGGATTCTGTTCTTCAAGATCAAGGTTAAGGGAGCCAGTATCTGGAAAGGATTTTAAAATATCAGCTACCATTAAGACCCAGGGGTCTGAATCCAAGGTAGCGAGCTGGATAATTTCAGTCAGTGCCCCTTTCATCTAACAAAAAAAGAAAGAGAAAATCAGCCAATTGGAAACAGTTTTAAACAGGTTATAGTTGGATTTTTTTTTTTAAATAAAAAAGACACCAGAATAGGCATGCACAATGTTTTACTACCAGGGAAGGGAAGAGGGAGACTGCTTCACAGTTATACATTAACTCCAGAACTAAGTAGAAAAATGAACCAAGCTGGTTTTTTTTAAATTCTGCTTTCAGTCAGCTCCATTTGTTTGGAGCTTTTGACAGATCAAGGCTTTGTTTAGCAGTGAATGTTCTTACTAAAAGAAACAGACCAGATTCTTACATTATTGCCTCCTTATACTCTCAGTGTACCTACACCTTATATTCAGTGATATTCAAGAATACACAGCTGGAATACAACAAGTTATTTAGAACAGGCATCTAAATGAAAATGTGCACCTTATGGGCCACAGAATAATTAAGCTGACAGGCCATATCTGCATCACATGAACATAAACTAAGTCCTTGAATTTTTTACTTAAGCTTAGGTCAAAATAATACATTTCACACTGATCAAAACTGTATTGCTTGACAATAACCACCTATGAGAGAAGTACACTCAGCCCTCTAACATGCCCCAAGTAACAAGACTACCCAAAGTTTCTGTAGTCAGGAAAAGTATTTTTCTTTAAGCATCTATCTCAAAAAAGTAAAAATAACCCATAAGTTAGTACAAAAGTTCACTATTACACTACTTTTTTTTAAATTACTGATCAACATGTCTACCGTCACTACGAAATTAAATAAAAAGGTGACTACAGTCAGGAGTTTACACAGTGAATCTCAGCTTATTTATCTTACTTCATTCACAGCTAAACTTAAGCCCCCCAAATAGAGACTGAACACTTTTTTTTCCTCCCCAAGTAAAATTTCATACAAGTATTAAAGCACTAGCTTCACAGAAGATGTCTGAGATATACTGTGCACCTACCATGCCACAAAACATACTAGTAAAATTACCTAAACTATGTAGATACAGTCTATCTGTATGGTATTAACGCTAGAGAATCTACAAGCAAGTATAAGGAAATACTTCAATTTTGATTTTTCACAATCCTCTGTGGCTCACACAGCTTAGTTACAGTCTCCGCGTTTCTGAACACAGGGAGAAAAGCAATAGATTCATCTCTGCCTTTATGCTGTATTTCTTTCCATTTAGAACCAGGCTTTTCTTATACGAAAAGGTTCAACAAAATAAGCTTACTTTCCTCACGTACCTCTAAGAAATAAGTTAGATTTCCGCTTACAATTTTTCCTCCCAAGCACTTTTAAAGCTCAGAGGCAGACAAACATTGACATTTCTCAATCCCTTTCACCCACGCGATGTTATTGCCCTCTCACTTTAGATAGGTTTACAAGTGCACATAGGGGCAGTTTGTCCTTTACCCCTTGCATGTTTTATCACTCCAAGGAACAAACAGGGCAGTTCATCTGACCAAAAGCTGACATCTTCCTATAGCTTTAAGCTTGATCAGCTCCATGGTGTGGCTGACTATAGTCACATAAACAGGAGAATCGCCAAGAGAGTAACAAAAAGGAGACACTGCAACAGTAAGTTACCATCCCCAGCAGCACTATTAATTTGCTTTGGCCAAAACTGACCACATACCCATGACAATGCACTGTTTAACATGTCAGATTTAACCAGCACTTACCCAACTAAAATAATCAATATCTAAGGTTCTAGTCTTTATTGTCCTCCATTACTCAATTCTTCCTCAGTAAATCTAGAGCACAGACCTCAACTCTACTCTGCCTTGTCGATCTCTCTATTCTAACCAAAAACAGCTCATCAGAAGCCACTTTTACAGTGGATGAGGTCAACTGTGCACGCTATCAAAACAAAGTTTCTTATTCTTCTATTTACTGTACCTATTTAAACATAACACCTGAAAATTTAAAATGCCACGAGAGCTGATGAAGCTACAGTTTCTTTATAGCTCTTTTACAAGCTTGTATCTGGGCACCACTAATGCAGGTAAGTGTACAGAATGCAATTCCTCCATCAAAGCAAACTCAGACAATAGTTGGGAAGAAAGATGTCTCCTGTATCCTCCCAATTTACTCTTCGCATCTGCTTCACGAAACTCCTATTTGTACAAAAAATTCAGAGCTACACACCTATATCATGTAAGTTCTTGTAGAGCTCTTTTCTGAGTACATCCACACCGCCATCAGGGCAACTAAAATTCAGGCAACCTAACTTACGTCACAACCCACTACTTGACACAGCTAATTCCTTCAAGAAAGGAGCCAAGAAGCAACTTGTTTGCCTAACACTGGGCAAATCATATTATCAGAAGACCTAACGGCAGAAAGCTCACAGCGAAAAAGCAGGCACCGTCACACTAATGGGCACCATGAGCTACTTGGAGACTTTGCCTGAACATGGGTTTGCATGTAACAAGCCTGGATTTGAGTTTTGACTCAAGCTTGTCTTCATATGGCAATTTAAATTTATGTTCCCGATCTGCTGTTGAAATGGCAGATTAAAATTTAAATTTGTGGTTTGGGAGTACATGAAATGCAACTCAAAATAACAGAGAATCCCACATGCAGTTTTTCAGTTGCTTTACAGAGCTCAGCCATAATCCCAAGCTCTTAATTGTATAAGATTGCAACACCAGGTCAGTAAGAGTCCCATCAGCTCCAACCAGTGTCTTGCTAATCATGAATGTCAAGATGTGATGCAACACGTTCTGGTATTCCTTTCATCTAAAACTTAAGGATACTAAGTATTTTTCTCAGCCTTCTGGCACACATAGATACAAAAGGAAAAAAAAAAAGCACAGGGCACAACCAGAAATGTCTAACAAGAAAGGATCGGGCAGAATGGAAAAAGTCTGGGAACGAAGACAAAGGGAGACTAGTAACGGCTGTGCAGGAAGAACACACCAAGAGCACCGTGGGAAGGGGAAATGTTACTGGAGACATGCAAAGTGACAGCTCTGACATGACTTCTTGCAAAGAATTCATATCTGTTATGCCTAAATTAATGTATGCTACTCCACCTTTAGACAACTGCATCAACAATTAGCTAATAAACCCAATCAAGTTTTAATCTTTCAAGGGCTGTAGAAAAGGTGATATTTTATAGGTATCTGTATTATTATTATTGAGCGCTTTCATTAAGCTAAAAGCATTGGACTGAAAGTACCATATTAATATTTATGCGATACAAAACTACAATGGATCAAATATCGCTATTTTATGTTTTGTATTTTAATAATGAAAAACAGTAGAAGTAGCCAAGAGTAATATTAGATTAAAATATAGCACATCACAGAAAAAGAATACTGAACGCAGGCCAGAGAGATGCATCCTGCCCATTCTGAAGACAGGGGGAAAGGCAAGTGTCATGTGCCCTCATGCTTCTCTGTGCCAGAACTCCACAACTCCCACCTATGTGAACAGAGGACTCCTGAATCACATAAGGAAGCAAGGAGAAACAGTTTTGACTTTTGCTCTCCTGCAGCTACTGTAATAAAAGGGCAGGCCGCTGTCGGGACAAGGAATCTTCCTCTCCAGATAATTCCGAGAGCACGGAAGCACACTGTCCTCATTCCAGACTTTGTTGTAACATCACAGTCTAACCCCGAACAAACAAATTAAACACTAGCACAAAAGGAAAACCTGCACTTGCCACTGCAAATCAGGTTAACAAGAATATAATATGCAAAATAAACACAAGTAACTGTTCTGCCAAATTCACGACTGAAACTCTGGTCAGCACTAAACTGAGCTTTAGGCATCGTTTCAAATAAGCCTAATTATCTAGAAAAAAAGCTAGCAGATGAAAAGCTTGGGGGGCAGGGAGATCCAAGAGCTAGCAAGTTCTGCCCAGAAAATTACAGCAGGAAAGGACATTTTTGTTAACTGCCTACAAAACACGCTTAAAATGAAAATGGGAGTCAATTATTCTTATTAGTCAGC